TGTTTACATAGTATATCTTTTTCTGCCTTTTTACTTTGAACTTTTCTATATCATTATCTTTAAGGCATACCTCTTACAAGCAACATATACTTGGTATTTTCTTTTTTATTTATTTATTTTATCAGTCTGACAATCTGGTCTTTTAATTGGGGTATTTATTACATTTATATTTAATGTAAATACAAAATATTTGGGTTTAACATTAACATCTTACTATTTGTTTCTTATTTGTTTCATTTCTTTGGTTTCTTTTTCTCTGTTTTCTTTCCATTTTCTTGAATTAATTAAATACATACTATTATTCCATTTTCTCTTCTAGTTAAACATTCTATGTCTAATCTTGTAGGGGTTACCCTAAATTGTAACATGCATCCTTAACTTGTTCAATTTCCAATATAGATTAGTGCTTTTAAATTATGTTAACTAACTCCATTTACTGACCATGCAGTTTTGGCTGTTTGTTTTCATACATTTTGTTTATCACATATTTCAAACTGTACAAGGTATTATTATTACTCTTTTATAAAGATGAGCTTCCTTTAGTCACCCAGGTATTTACTTTTCCGATTCTTTCTTTCTTCTAACATCTACTAGTTTCCATCCAGGATCATTTTCCTTCTCTGTTAAGTCTGTTGCCAACGGAATAACATTTTGAAAATATATTCATTTTGCTCTCATTTTTGAAGGCTGTTTTCACTGGGTAAAGATATTGGAATAGGCACTCTGAAGCACTTTGAAGATATTCCACTGTCTTATGGTTTCCATTATTTCTGTTGAAGAGTAAGTCAGTCCTGTTGTTGGTTGTTTGAAGGTAATATGTCTGTTTTCTCCAGCTGCTTCATAGATTTTTCTTTTTGTATTTCAATAATTTGACTATGATGGGACTAAATAATTTTTAATGTATATATTTTGTTTGGAGTTTATTGTCTATGGCTTGATACATTTTCATTGATTTAAGAAAATTCTTGAATATGTTACCTTCATGTATTGTTTCAGGCCAATTCTTTCCCTTTCTTTGGTGGTCCAGATTACATATATGCTCAACTTCTCTATCATGCCGTATGTGTCTCCTGTGTTTTGTTCTGTTTTTGTTTTTATTGTTCTATTTTCTGTCCTAGATCTTCTCCAGTCTTCCATCTGGATATATTCTACCTGCCCATATTCAGTTTGTAATCATTTTCAGCTGTGTCTTATCAGATTTTAAACCCATCTATTGAGGTCCAAGCTTCAGATATTGTATGTTTCAATTCTAGAATATCTACTTGATTTTTAAAAAGGTTCATGTTCTCTGTTGACATTTTCTATTTTATCCTTGATTTTCTTAAACCTATTATAGTTGTACTAAAGTTTGTGCTTGATACATACAATTTTTTTAATCTACTGTGGGTCTGTTTCTATTGTTTTTTTTCCTCTTGGTCTTCAGTCATTTGATCTTTTCTCCTGGTATGCCTGTTAGTTTTTGATATCATGCCAGATACTCCTTATGGAAAAATTATAGAGAAAATTTGAGTCCTAGATTTTGTGAACATCCTACAGAAAATATTCACCTTTGCTTCTCACAGGCAGTTAAGCAGGGGCAAATAATTTTAGCCAAAATAGGAATAGTTTCAAAGTTGGTTTGGGACTCTTTTTGCCTGTTTTTTGTTAGTCTTTACTTCTAGTTTATAGCCCTTTAGATGTCCCATCTGAAATTCTGAGTGTTTACCAGGATCCTCTTTCATGGTGTGTCTTGAACACTGACCTGTGTCTTCCCAATCCTTTGAGACTGCCAAAACTCTGCTTCATGCTGCCTACAAATCAATAAATGCCTTGAAGGAAAAAGCAGAGGTGAATGTCAAATTCATGTTCTCTTGTTGATCATCATTCATCAAGCTGTTGCTAAGTTGATAGTTCTCCAATGCCGTCAAACAGATTTGTAAATATATATTTTAATCAACTTTTATACTTGTTTTGTGTGAGCAGGGAGAGTTGTGCTTATAATAGCTGGCCTATATCATAGTTATAGGAGAAGTTGCAAACTTCATACTCTTAATCACTGCTGTATGCGGCTTTGTAAACAGAAAATTCCAGACAAGACCCACTCCTCTAAGTATTTATGATTTAGTTTGGAGAAAACCTCATAGAGAGAACTCTTTTCTTTCTTTTTTTTTTTTAATATATTTATTTATTTGGCTGAGTTGGGTCTTCATTGCTGCACACGGGCTTTTCTCTAGTTGTGGCGAGTGTTGTTGTGGTGTGCGGGCTTCTCATTGTGGTGGCTTCTCTTGTTGCAGAGAGACTCTAGGCATGCGGGCTTCAGTAGTTGTGGCACGTGGGCTCAGTAGTTGTGGCTCATAGGCTCAGTAGTTGTGGCTCACGGGCTCTAGAGTGCAGGCTCAGTAGTTGTGGTGCATGGGCTTAGTTGTTCCACGGCATGTGGGATCTTCCCAGACCAGGGCTCGAACCTGTGTCTCCTGCACTGGCAGGTGGATTCTTAACTACCATGCCACCAGGGAAGTACTAAGCACTCTTTTCTAATAGAATATTATAATGTGTTTATGGACTAAACTAAATTAAGAGGATCTGGGAACTCTTTGAGGCTATGGGCCATGCTTTACTAATTTTTATGTCTTAAGTATTTGCTTGATAAATTTGATGAGTTGGATGGACATGAAAACGAGTACTCTAGGAGTTTAGGGTAGAACAGAAGGATTGTGTGAGCTACAGTATCCAGGTAGAGTTGAGTAGGTCATAAGGGGTTTCTTGGTAGATGTCTAATGTTTGGGTAGGTTGAGGGGAAAGGAAGCTAAATTCAAGGAGAAAACATGTGCCAAGCCTGAAGGTAAAGCTGGCAAGCATAGGAGACAATGAGGAGACCAGTCTATCTGTAACAAAGGATTTGTGTTAGGGAGTAAGTGCTAGATGGATAGAGTGAAGGCATATGGTGGGAAATGGGGAATCCAGATTGTGGGAAGTTGATTGTCTTCCATGGCAAAAGGGTTTTCATAATACTTCCATGGAATGTTAATAGAAGTTAAGCCAAAAAAAAGAAATAAATAAAGAAGACACTGAGGTTTGGGAAACATTGGTTTAAACAGATTTGTTTACTGCAAGATTTCTTTGAACCTTTAAACTGTGCATGCTGAATTTCCAAAATTGTTTAAACTCAGCAAACTTTTGATTATAAAAGAACAGTGATTCTTGGAACATATTTTGGGAAATTGGGATATGTGGGCATTGAGGAAACTCTTGCTGGAATGTTACACTAGCATGAAAGACTCATGAAATCTGGAACTTTTATGATATTGTTCACAGTTCTACCCTTGAGAAGAATATCTTGCAAAAGTATTTTCTCGGTATATCTTAATTGAATGAATTGTTGGTTTTAGTGGATGAAGGAAGAATGAGATCAGGGTGAAGTCAAGATGAATTTACCAATGTGAATCTGATAGTGTGGTATAGGATGGACTGCAGGGGGAAGAGGCTAGAAGCTGAAAAACCAAAAAGGAAGCTGTTAAAATTATCCAGACCTAAGATTTTTTCTTGGACTTGGTGACCCTTGAAAATGGAAACTAAAATGGATAACAGTGATATTTTGCAAAGAGAATTGACAAGACATAGTGATAGGTTAGATGAAGGAGGAAGGAAGTTCTCAAGGAACCCAGAGAGTTCAGATGGCTCTGAGGTTGATGGAGTAGGGAAGAAGGAATTTCTGTACAAGACTTTGTTCTGTTTCCTTCATGAAGCCTAATGATTTGATAGATAGGATCATAAAGTATCTAATTCCATGAACTTTTACCTTGTGTTTGAGAACTTTCTTTTTTTTTTTTTTAATTTAGCCGCGCCACCTGGCTTGTGGGATCTTAGTTCCCCAACCAGAGGTCGAACCCAGACCCCAACAGTGAAAGCGCTGAGTCCTGAGTCCTAACCACTGGACCACCAGGGAATTCCCTTGAACACTTTCTGTGTAGAAAAGATCACAAGTTTTTAAACAGCAAAGCTATGTATGGGAGAGAGTTTGAATGAAAAATACAGGAAAATACCCATATTTTAAAAGAATCACACTGAATTTGAGTGAAAGCAAATATATTGTGCAAAGATTCTGACTTAGGCAACTTTTCTTCCAGCTCGTAATTCTATGATATCTACATATAAATTATGCTAATTAGAACATTAGAAATTTAAGGTGATGCAGATTAGGCAATTATTTTGAGCTACTTCTTTTCCAAAAGAAACTGGAGTGTTCTAGGATTACCAACAAGTGGGCTTCTGATTTGGGGAGTGAATAGGCTGGGAGGTTGGAAATGTAAGTTCTGTCTAGTCTAGACGTACTAAGAGTCAAAACATAGGCAAACCTGAACTATCACCATCACCCGCTATGTCTGATCAAACCTTATGAGTCCCAAGGGAGCTGACTTCTCCACCTCGGAAGGAGCAACAGATGGAATGGAAGCAGCACAGACTTCAGACTCAGACTTAGATTTAAATCCTAGGGGAGGATAAGTTGCTTCTTAGCTTTTAGTCTACTTATCTATAAAGTCGGAATAGTCATTTCACAGGATAGTAGTGAGGATTAAATAAGATATAAAAGGACTAGCACTGTAGGAATTAGGCACGCGTGTATACATCAGTGAATGAATACTGTGTTATAGTCCCTTAGGTACACCTTCTACCTACCAACCAGACCTGCTTCCCATCTAAAAATCATATGTCCATTAGTATTGCATCTAGGGACCTTGAAGGTTGCTACCTTTGTGATGATGACAATTAGGAGCGATGATAAAATTGATTTAATAATGATTTTACCAGAAAATATATTCAAAACTGTTTTCAAAGGATTTCCAAGTAAAGTATGGTAGTTCTAAGGGTCAGGTGTTGGTGGGGCTAGAAAAAAATTTTTTCCTTGCTGGGAAGGTTGTAAATACATAGGTAGTAATATCAAGAATAAAAATGAAGTGACTCTAAACAGCAAACCACGGTTTTCACTAATTGTAACCAACATTTTCTTTCCATTATACCAGTGAGAAGAAGCTCATTACAGATGCCCTTAATAAAAATCAATTTCTGAAGAGACTGGATCCTCAGCAGATCAAAGACATGGTGGAATGCATGTATGGGAGAAACTACCAGCAAGGGAGTTACATTATTAAGCAAGGAGAACCAGGAAACCATATCTTTGTACTGGCAGGTGGGCTTCACAGATTTTTCCAGTCAACATATAATAAATATTTGCCTATAGTTTAATGATTTTTTGTAAACATTTATAAAAATGCAAAATTGGTTGCTCTATTTGTAGAAAACATAACAAATTGAGCTCATAGAATAGTAACCTTGTTGATCATGTTGCTAATACTTAATATTTACAGAATGCTTTCTCTATGTCCAGCATCCTACTGAGAACTTAATAGAAAGATCTCATTTCAACTCACCGACTCTGTTAGGCAAGTGCTACTATCTTCATGTTACTATGTGGACTGTGTCACAGAGAGGTTAAGTAACTTACCCAAGGCCACACAGCTCATTAGTGGCGGAGGTAGAATGCAAATTTAAACAATCTGATTAGAGAGTCCATACTTTTAATTACAGTGCCACTCACTCAACATATACAAGAAGGTGTTTCAGAGTATTCAAAACTGCTGCTTGTGTTGACCTTTTTCCATTGTTGTACCATGGAAAAGAAAACAATTATTTTTGTGACTTTGTAAAATATTTTCGTTATATACCAATGATTTCAAAAGACAATTTAGGTACATTTAACCAACAGATAAGTCAAATGGAATGCCTTAAGGTTAAAGCTGGTGTTTTTAGAACCATTTAAATGGCTTCCTCCATACATGATCCCTTGAACATGCTTCCATGCTGGGTAGATTATAATGGTTAGATAGGAAAAGGATTTATTTCTCAAATGCTTATCAAACACATAAATCTTATACTGGAATTCAACAACTTTTTTTTAGATATAGAAGCAAGAAATCATCTGAACAAGGCTTACAGTTATTGAATGCCCTGTCAAATTCTGAATTGACCCCAATTTTTGAGTTTTAGGGAAAAAAGTTAACTGGCTTGTTCAGAGGTAGTGGTAACCTGGGATGTGCTGTGGCGTTTTATTTTGCACTGTAGGTCCTGACGATCTAAGCAATGCTTTATAAACTTTATAATTTTTTTTTTTTTTTTTTGCGGTACACGGGCCTCTCACTGTTGTGGCCTCTCCCATTGCGGAGCACAGGCTCTGGACGCGCAGGCTCAGCGGCCATGGCTCACGGGCCTAGCCGCTCCGTGGCATGTGGGATCCTCCCAGACCAGGGCACGCACCCACGTCCCCTACATCGGCAGGCGCACTCTCAACCACTGTGCCACCAGGGAAGCCCATAAACTTTATAATTTTTTATTGATGGCCAACTATGGTCAAAGCCCAGTGCTGAGTTCTGAGAGAGACACAGGTGAATAAGACATGATTCCCATGGGAGGTTACATTCTGGTAAGTGACCTGCAACTTTAGACAAATCCTTGTATAGCAAGGAGGGGTAAAAAGAATCACAGAAACTAAGAAACAAAGTTAAGCAATGCTTAACTTTGTTTCCTTGAGGCCTTAGGTGTGGAGCAGAAGTTGCCTATCCAAACAAATTAATACACATCTATTGACAGCGTATAAAAGATTGTTTTCTCTATTTTGATTCTTTAAACATGCCAGTTGCATAATTATTAGTGTATTATTTGCCACATACGTCTTTGTAGACGTCTTTAAAACTATAGTCATCCTCAAGTAATTATTCTCCCCAAGAAGTGAATTACAGTCTTAATTTAGCCAGCCTTCAAGTTTTAGGGACAGGTGACCCAGAGCAATTTCCCCCTCTTTCAACTTTTCTCTTGGCTCTTTCACTTCTACTTTAGCAACACTAGAACATTCTGGCAAGAGAAGATAGGGCATTAAGTCAACCAATATTTAGGAAACCTGCAAGGAAAGATGAGAAACTCATGTCAGCTCATCTTGTTCTTTGCCAGCAACTCTGATGAAAGGCTTGGGGAGAGAAGGGTTTGAACAGAAGTCAGTATCAATATAGTTATGGAAGTCAGGGCTATAGCACACATGGAAATGAAAATTGGATGCTTTCTTATTTGAATTAATTATGATGTTATCTAAGAATTGAATTGTGTGATTTAATTGATTGAGCAAATTAGTTTGTTAATTCAAAATCTCCCCTTTATAAAATAGAGCAAGAATAGCATATAGTAAAAGCATATTTAGCTTAAAGTTTTGGTATTCCATATAATTGTTCAGTGTTGCTCAAGTCCCATGTGCCATAACGAATTAGAAAAAAACTTGAAATGCATAAAGTTCCATGATACTAACTCAACAGTGAAGCTAAGTAGTTTTGATGGAATAGAATTTAGTTATAATGAGAAATTATTAAATTGCATAACTAATATATAAGATTCAGAGCCAAAACAGAATTTATTTCTTACTAGAATATAAGTTCTAACAGGATAAATATTTTTTCTGTTTTGTCTACCCTGTCTTTCTTTCACCTGGGCTAGTTCCTGGCACAGCATAGGTATTCATATCAGATGCACTGAATGAGTGGTTGGACGGAGATGACCCAGAGCTACTTAGTGGTGAATTAGGAGAAGGAAAGACCAGTTCTTCAAGGGAAAGAGAAATAACCCCACCATTTTCTTCCTCTAAAAATATAGGTCTTTTTTGCAAAGCTTTTGATTAGCTAAGGTTTTATTTGCATTTGTTTGAAGGGAAAAGAGAAGAGAATTGCCAGGGCAGAAGCATGGTGAGGAAGTTGCCTCTCCCTTCCCCCAAACTCTGCTTAGCCAAAGATTGGTGTCAAGCATTCTTCTTTTTCTTTTTTATGAATTTAATTTTTAGAGCAGTTTTAGGTTTACAGCAAAATTGATAGGGTGGAACAGAGATTTCCCATATACCCCTGCCTCCCCACATCCACAGCCTCTCCTGTTATCAGCATCACTCACCAGCAAGCTACAGTTTTTTTTTTTTTTGTTTTTTGCAGTACGTGGGCCTCTCACTGTTGTGGCCTCTCCCATTGCGGAGCACAGGCTCCGGACGCGCAGGCTCAGCGGCCATGGCTCACGGGCGCAGCCGCTTCGCGGCTTGTGGGATCTTCCCATACCGGGGCACGAACCCGTGTCCCCTGCATCGGCAGGCGGACTCTCAACCACTGCGCCACCAGGGAAGCCCTGTGGCTTGTCTTTTAATTCTCTTCTTAGTGACTTCATTTATTAATGCATTTCAATGAATGAGGGGTTAGGCAACAAGCAAGGCACGGTGAAGTAACGTACCCAAGGTCACATGGCCAAAGACTAGTCAGAGCCAGGCGGCCTGACTCCAGGGCCAGCATACTTCTCAGTTATGGCAAGTTAGTCCTTCCGCCAGTGTGAACACCTGTGCTGTGTTTTCAAGACGTACAGTGATTGTTGTGTTCCTTGTGCAAGAGAAGTAGTTTCATGTGCTACATTTTTCATGGGTAGAATGAATTTTAAATGAACCACTTGCCATCCACTGCTTCAGGAAAGAGCTTTGTAACAATCACAATAATAATAATAATATGGGATTTCGTTTGTTTGTTTTTGTTTTTTGTGGGTTTTTTTTGGCTGCACTGCACAGCATGCGGGATGTTAGTTCCCCGACCAGGGATAGAACCTGTGCCCGCCTGCAGTGGAAGCGCAGAATCTTAATCACTGGACTGCTAGGGAATTCCCAATAGCTAACACTTACATGGCATCTACTATGTGCTAGCCATGGATCTGTGATCTTACCTGTAGTAACTTATTTACTTCTCACAACTGTATGAAGTAAATATTATTAATATTATCCCCATTATTGATGAGGAACCCAGGCAGAGTGGGTAAGTCTTCAGGCTAATCAGCTAATAGAGAGTGGGCTTCAGTCTGCATTCTTAACCACTTTATTATAATGAGAATCATAATATATCTTACTTGTATGCTTTGTATACCTTCTGATTGTTTTTTTTTAACTTATGGAATCCAGGTGGATTTTGATTACTTGTGTTTTCTTACATTCTACTTGATAGAGGGTCAACTAGAGGTGTTCCAAGGGGAGAAATGGCTATCATGCATTCCTATATGGACAACGTTTGGGGAACTAGCCATTTTATACAACTGTACAAGAACTGCCTCTGTGAAAGGTAACAGGAGATGAAATGCTGTGTTTTTTAAATTGTTACACAACGTTAAAGATAACCTAAGACACTGTTGCATCCTGAGTCTTTTTGTCTCCCGTTGTGCCCCATATGCTCTTATTAATAGAAAGGCTATGCTTATAAAAGGATTTATATTGAAGCCCTTGTCTAAATAATTCAAGCTTAAAAAGATCTTTCTGTCAGATACCTGTATATAAAATATGAGTATGGATTTAAACAGAATTGATTCCAGTATTTGCTATCGTTGCCACTTCAATTTTGTATTATGTAGACATTTGCCTTTGGCTCATCCAGCATGTTTGCTTTCTATTCTCCATAAGGTTCTGACCATATTACAAACCAGAAAATTTAATTAAACCAATAAATGTGTATAAATATCAAAAAGGATATGAATTAATTAATGAGAGTTTTCATGAGTGACTTTTGGGATTAGTTCAGTTGCTTCTCCTTAGGGTTCTTGTTTTTATCGACTTTATTCATGGTAATATCAGGTTTTCTTCTTAATTACTTAGATGTGGTGTTTCTCAGAGTTTGGGACGAGGTTATGTGTGTCAGCATTGTTGCAGTATTTGATAAAAATGCAGATTCTGAGGCTCCACTCCAAATAATCTCTGACAGTGGGGCCCAGGGATCTCTATTTTTAACAAGAATGTCAAAATAATTCTAATTCACTCTAAAGTTTAGTAAACCAGAGATTTTGATTTTGATCTCTTCTGTAGGCTCTCATCACTCCTTTAAAAAATATCTTACTACCATAATTTCATACAGATTTTTTAGAGCTGCTACTTCTGTTCTTCTTCCTTTTTAGGTTTTATTCTTAATTTTAATGTCTTTCCTATGAAAACGTTGTCCCAAAAACTGTCTTGCATAATTTCTTTGAAAATGATTTTATATATTTTATGTAAAAGTAACCATAGAGATTCTTAAAATATATTGGCTCCCGTTAGCAACAGTGTCTAAACAACATAAAAAGACATAAAAACAGACTCACACGCAGAGATCTTTAACTCTCAGTTCTCTGCTTGTGAATTCTTCACTCTCTGGATTAGCTACAGGCTGGCTGGCTTTCTTTTGTATCACAGCACAAATCTAAAATACCTCCTGATGATGTAGTGTGTAATTAGGGATTGCAAACTAATTTTAATATCATCCTAAGCAAAACATAATTAGAATGGAAATCTTTTGCTGCTCACTTTCAAATCATCATTTATTTCAAAGCCAAAAATGATTTTATAAAATTACCTACTCTTTACATCACTACTTCCTTCCATTTGCATGCTTAAATAATGCATTGTCCAAGAAATATCATGAGAGTACATGAAAAATTTATTGATTAACATGCTGGAATGTTTTCTTAATCTAAGAGCTAAACAATATTTTATTATTTTCTTGATTTTTCTAAAGCTATTACAAATGTCAAAACATGGGCACTAGATCGAGAGGTATTCCAGAATATAATGAGAAGGACAGCTCAAGCCAGAGATGAAGAGTACAGAAACTTCCTCAGAAGGTAAGAATAACACGTTGGTGGCAGAAAGAGCAGAAGGTGGTATAGCCATATTATGGACATGTTGGTTTTATCAGAATAATTATTTTACTGCAATCTTTCTTATTTAAACATTTTCCATATGATTAAGCCAAAGGAACAAAAGAATTCTCTTGCAGTAAATGACACTATATATATGAAGAATTATATTTCATTCCCATTAGCCTTGTTCACTGATTTATTTCTCTTGCTAATTTTGCCCTTGTGTTGATGGAGTCATTGCACATAGTATAGAATAATGTGCATAAAATCCTAAAATATTCACTTGGGTTGCTCAGTTGACTTTGAAAGATGTCCTATAATTTGGAAGTAGATAACAAAAAATAATGCTTTGCTTAGAATAATATTAAAATAAATGATTTTACTATCCTTACTTGCTTTACCTGAGACATTTTTTCTCATTGGCATAGCCACGCCATCTTCCAAATTACTATTATTTGCAATAAATTAACTTGCCAAAAATGTTATTATGCTTGCTATCACGACATGGATCCTTGGAACATACACATTTTGTCAACTGTTCTGAACCCCCAACAACTTGGACGCATCAAATTACAGAGAAACAAGTACCTATGTAACTAAAAAGGTCAGCTACACATTAAAAACATTTTTTTTTTGGAAAGTATAAGTTCCTTATTTAAACTATTTCTGTGTCTTTTGTGGGAGATTTGACAGTCTCTGAAACTGCAATACATACTGTAATGAAATGTAACCTTTGATAAGTGGTAATAACAATAAAATATCCTGTGGTTTCCAAAAATAAATTCCAAGTTCTTTTTAAGTATAGTGACTTTATCTTGCATAACTAGCCTGCAAAGTCAATGATTTTAGGGCTGTGCTGTGCCTATCGTGTAGTGAGGACTCAGTGAATATTGAATGAAGGCATTGTTAATCAGTAGAACATTGCAGGCATTGAGGTTTTTCATATGAACTCTTGCTGATTTACTTTCCCGGAAACAATAATGACTCCTGGAAGAGAGCTGCAGTAATGACAAGAAGGTGCCTTACCTATATGATAATCAGTGCCTTAGCCATCATGTTGTGGGGTCTACCTGAGTATAGGTAATCTCAAAATCCAGCAACTGAGCAATGCAGGTCAGTATTTAAAGCTAATAAACTGCATTTATGCAAGGGCCAAAAAAGGATACATAAATAAACCGGTGCCCATGGGTTGCATCATGTTTGAGATAAAACCTGAGCCACTAGGTTTTCCCTTGGAGTCTAGTGCGTTCTGCCTTAGTGGAGGGAGCTCAGAGAATTTACTAGTACAGGTTCCTTCCCTCCTTTTCTTCTTTTTGGTATCTCATTCATGCATTCATTCATGCATTATTGCCAGGGGTAAACATTATGGATTCAGTGGTGAACAAGATAAACCTGATCTCTGCCTTCATAGAGGAGAGACAGACAAAAGATTTTTTCTCATATCAATTTCCTCACCAATCCCCAAAGGTGATAGGCTTACAGGAGAGAATTTTCACTAATGCTACAGCGCCCAGTTTGGACCCGAAGTAGAACTTTCATGACAGGCATGTGTTAGTCAATTAAACCAAAGGAACAAAAAGTATTCCCTTTTCTTCTATATGCCACTATATAGAAAGAAGTTCTGGTTAACCCTTTTACCTTTTCATCTATAAGGAGACACATTAGAGAAATACATTTCTCTTCGTTTCATAATATACAGTAAGCTCTTTTCCATTTACATCTTTTTATTATGAAGTATCTGACATGTATCAAAGGATACATAGTACATATGTAAGTTTTAATGACATAATAATAAAGTGAGCCCCATCACGCTACGGGTCCAGCCTAAGTAGAAAGTTAGCAATGTTGTTGGCATTCTCATTTGTTCCCCTATGTCATTTTCTAGCCTTCCTCAGGGTACCTCCTCTCCTTGGAGTAGTCTGTATTCTGAAGTTTGGTAATCGTAACCTTCCTATTCTTTATTATTCTGCCTGTAGCTTGGTTTAACCTTTTTTTTTTTTTTTTTTTTTTTGCGGTACGCGGGCCTCTCACTGCCCTAGCCTCTCCCGTTGCGGAGCACAGGCTCCGAACGCGCAGGCTCAGCTGCCATGGCTGACGGGCCCAGCCGCTCCGCGGCACATGGGATCTTCCCGGACCGGGGCACGAACCCGTGTCCCCTGCATCGGCAGGCGGACTCTCAACCACTGCGCCACCAGGGAAGCCCCGGTTTAGCCTATTTTTGAACTTTACAAAATTGGTGTTATTTTGCAAGTCAGTTTTTTCACTCAATACATTTTTTAAGGTTCATCTACTTGGTTAGTGCAGTCATTTCTCCTGTTGTAGAGTTCTGTTATCTGACTCGACCACAGTTCATATATTTGCTCTCCCATTGGGCATGTTCCAGTGTTTTGCAATTACAAGTGATTCAGATGCAGACATTCTTAGACCCAGCTCCTGGCTACATGCCTCCTGGTCCTTGTGTTCAAGAATGAGTCTAGAGCTCTCTTTTCAAAACTCAGATCCAATCATGTATTTATGGAGGTGCATCATTTTTTCCTTAGGAGTGTCAAATTTTAGATGGTAAGAAAGAAGTATCTATCTTATAGAAATTATATCAACAGTCCTGAGTGAAAATGGGTAAAGTAGAAATTTCTCTCAAAGAACAATTTAATCATACTGATGGGTTAATCATACTGAGTGGAATTTTTTTTTTGCTGTACGCGGGCCTCTCACTGCTGTGGCCTCTCCCGTTGCGGAGCACAGGCTCCGGACGCGCAGGCTCAGTGGCCATGGCCACGGGCCCAGCCGCTCCACGGCATGTGGGATCCTCCAGAACCGGGGCATGAACCCGTGTCCCCTGCATCGGCAGGCGGACTCTCAACCACTGTGCCATCAGGGAAGCCCCTGAGTGGAATTTTTTATATTTTTTTCAAAAAATTTCAGTATTCTGTCTTTCTCTGTATATTATTATTATCTGTAAAAATGTTCCTATTACATGCCTCTGGCTACCATTAATTTTAAAAGACAGTACAATATGACTAATAATCAAGATCATTTCCATGCTAATTCCTACATTCCCTCCTGGATTCAGTCTTTACTTAATTACAAGGATTTACATGAAAACCTGATTCTCCTCTGGAAGCAGAGGTCCTCATCCATGCTAATAAAAGAGATATTGAGATGTGGAACACATTTCTGGATGTGATTCACTTCGTAAGCCAACAACAAATGTAATTTTTTTTTCTCCAAAGAAACAAAATTTGATTTTTTTCCTTTCATGGGGTCTTACCATTTTTATTTATTTACCTGTGATAAATGTCTGCTGTTATATGTAATTATATAATTTCAATGTATCTGAAATTCAGTTATTTATGTGTGATATATTTGGAGGTTTACTTTGGAAAAATTAAAGTGCATTATATTTTTTAAATGCATGCATGAATCTATGTAGAGGTGTATATTTATAGTTTAATTCATGATGATAATTAAATAAAGGTTTCTTTTTAATTTTGCAGTGTATCCTTGCTGAAGAATTTACCTGAAGATAAATTAACCAAGATCATTGACTGCTTGGAAGTGGTAAGAAATTTTAAAGTAAAAACTATATTTCATTAAAAGATTATATGCTCTAGTCATTATTAGCACTGTAAATGATTAAAAAGGAAAAGATGGTGATCACCAGTCCACAGAGACCAGGAGCCTTTTTCTATTGTGAAAACTCACACTGAATTAAGGGGCTGGGGTGGGGTTCAGGGACTCTTCTGAAATATATAAAAGAAAATTGGATTTGCATGTGTAAAGTGACATTTGATTTACATATTTTAATCTTTTTAGTATATTTTATAAAACTAATCTGCCTCACTCAAGAGGCATTTGATTTTCTGCAATTTTCTGCCTCACTCAAGAGGCATTTGATTTTCTGCAATTAACATCACAATCCCTTACAGAGTTTTCGTAGTATGAAGGAGTCAGTGATGCATAATTAGGTAATGGAGTAGAGAAAGGGTATATTGGGACTTTCGTGAACAGGCTTCTGAATCAAGCTATGAAACATTCCATACTTGAAAACTCTAGGCTATGAAGATTTTAAAGAAAAAAAAAAAAAAAAACAAAAAAACCCTGTACTTAAGAAGCACTTTACCTATTTTAACATCTAGGGAAAAATGGCGTATTGGAACATGTTCAAAAATTCATATTAGGCATCACGCCGATGGTTGGTTCTTGTCCAAGACTAGTCAAGTCTTTTTGTGAATAATGCTTTTATGATATGCACCTTGGATTCTAATAATTTTCATTATATGAAAACCTCTTCAGAGATTAATATTCAAAGTAAATAACCTCTGTCTAACTTTTTTTTGGTGTGTGTCGGTCAATTTCATTGAAACCAAATTGCTTTTCGGGAATTTAAAGGAGGTAAGGAATAGTAAAGGAGTCAGATGTAGACTTTAAGATTTTATAAAGCTATTCTCAGTCGCAGACAAAAAATACCCTGCAAGACTGATTGTTGACAGATTCATGCCTCTGTCAGTCTCAATATACAATGTAAACTAATACCTGTTGAGAAGGGAGCACCAACCATTTTATCCTTAAGTGTAAGTGACACCAGTAATGTTTCCATTTACAATTCATGGAACCCATCCAGCAGTTTATCAAGGACAGGCCATGATGACACAGTGCCTGGCCTTGTGTCCCCAGAGCGTTCAGATATGAAGTCATTTTCAAGAGGACTGCTTGCCCTGCATCTCTTGGGATTTTCTCAGTGTAACATAACCCAATCACAGATGTTACAAATTAATAATTCATCCTAATTTCTGAGTGTTTTTTTTTAAAGCTGGAGAGGCCCTATATTTTTTTGTTAACCGAGGAAATCTGTTTTTAACATAACACTAATAGAGTAGATTCACCAGAGGGGAATTCCATGCTGACAGAAAATATTAAAATTTAGCATCATTAAAAATAAATGGTAAATTAGACATATTTATAGTAGCCACAGGCAACAGCTACAGAATATATAGATGGGGGCTCCAACCTAGTATTAATTAACACACAATTCGAATTTGAAAGTCTCATCTTTTAAAACACCCTAGAAGGCTTTATTATATATTAGCATTTGCAAACAGCAGTGTGGTTTATAAAGGGCTCTTTATTCATACCTGGCAAACAAATGTGTCTCTGTAATGTGTGAAAATTCACAAATTCGAAAGTGATTAACAAGGGAGTAATGGGATCTATTTAGCGCTAGGAAAAGCACATAATTTACCAGCATAGCTTGGACTAATGACCCATCAACTGGGTCCTGACCACAGCCAATCACTAATGCATTGGAGTTATGACAGAGCACCTGCTGAGTTCTAGGGCCAGCTATCCCACAAACTGGCTCCATAATCTTTGAGAAAAACAGGCTGAATCTGGCATGCTATTTAGGAGTTGATTTGGGGTGGTTTTAAGTTTTTGTGCAGGGGGTGGGGAGGGAGTATCAGAATTTCCCGTCACCAAGCAGTTGTTCTGATGTGTTTGTTAAGACTTTGGTTTGTTGAAGTCCTAGACCACACGGCCTGAATGTGCAGTGTGCCAACAGCATTTCTTGCTTTAGCATAAATCACCCAAAGTATTCAGTTCTGGAGGCAGACATTGCCTTTAAACCTCTTCTCGTGGTCTAATGGGAAAAGGAGGGTGGGAAAAGTAGCAACACATTCACTGGTGTGCTTTAAGAGTTAACTAATGAACACTCTAAAGCACGACACAGATTCCAAATGCAGTGTGACTATTAATGATGATGAAAGTGACAATGTGACTTCTGTACCTGGCAGTTGGGTAGTACGGAAGACAAGAGGGGGAAGAGTTTCTGTTCCCACTCTTGGTGAGAGATCCGGGAGGCCCAGGATTTGACTGTGTGGTGGATCGAAACGTTACGGAACTCTTTGTTACAGAGATTTAGTGTTTGACCCAGTGACCCTCTGCACTGCCACTCTGACATGGCATCTTTCATGAAACTGGAGCTCTAGTGGGAGTGGGACTGGGGTAGGGAATGTGAAATGTCCTTGTCCTTAATCAGATCACCAGTGATGCTGATTAAAAGGCAGATTCCCAGGTACTACCTCACACTTACTGAATCAGGAACTCTGGGGTAGGGACCCAGAAATCCACATTTTAACAACACGATTCTTCTTTTTTTTTTTGTGGTACACGGGCCTCTCACTGCTGTGGCCTCTACCATTGCGGAGCACAGGCACCGGACGCGCAGGCCCAGCAGCCATGGCTCACGGGCCCAGCCGCTCTGCGGCATGCGGGATCTTCCCAGACCGGGGCACAAACCCGTGTCCCCTGCATCGGCAGGTGGACTCTCAACCACTGCGCCACCAGGGAAGCCCAACAACACGATTCTTAAAGTTTAAAGTTATGAATTGAATACATATATTTAGGGTTTGCCATAGTCTGCCTCTTTAGTCACAAGTTTTCCATTTTTCATCGTTTTTTGAAAGTCTAGTCTTCCTTTCTTATAGTTCCTGCTAACACTTGCATAAGCCAGAGAGGTTTTCGCATTTTAATGGTTACATCTAGAACCATAAGAAAGTTGAGATAATTGTGGATTTTGCCAGTTTAGGGACCTGTTAATTAAAGGGGGGGTGCAGCTAGGTGTCCTAGAAAGTTAGCTAGTCCAAAGTCTGGAGATTAAGGTTTATGGTCAAGCCTCTGTCCCTCGCAGCTGTCAGTTAATTGTGGTGGGCATCAGGGTCACCTCATCTATAAAATAAGGGGGTGCTGGGTCACATCTGTACGGGCTGTCTCAGTGTTTCAGTTACAAAATTCTATACAGTTGGCTCACCCAAATGGAGGAATTTCTGTTGATTTTCATTTTGTAGGCTCCAGTTCCTTGGAAATAAGCAATCAGATGCTAAAATTATGCTGGAATGGTTGATAGGGTCTACCTAATCCAGGTGTGTTTGCTTTAAAATTTCTAAGGTGTTTTAACTACTGTACTTGGACAAATAAAAATAGCTGGTAGCAAACCCCAATAAATGTATACAGTTTTTTAAACAATCAACTTAGGGACATGGTCACATGATGCAGGGTTTGTGTGTGTGTGTGTGTGTGTGTGTATGTGTGTGTGTGTGTGTGTGTGTGTGTGATCATACATCTGACTGTGTATCATCAATTCTTCTTTGTGATGAAGATTTCTAGCCGCACACTAAGGAAACTAAGGAAATCATAGGCTTGCTTCTTTGTCTTTGTCCTCCATCACCTTAGATTTTAATTGTGGTTTCATATATTCTATTTACAGGCACTCAGGCTCTATCTATCATTTTGCTAGCTATCACAGAATGAGCATTTTCTTTACATGAAAAACTCTTTCCATCTTTAGCAGTTTCTGATGTATGGTTTTCTTCTTCTTCTTTTTTTTCCAGTGTATGGTTTACTTTTAACCTCTATCTCTCAGTCTGCCCTGGAATTGATTTCCTAAGTTTCCTTTTGGCCATATACTAAGTACCTACTCTCAGTGTTTCTAGATATCTTCTTTTAAATCATCTTTTTCAGACTGTGGGACACAACTCATTAGTAGGTCATAAAATCAATTTAGAGGAACATTTTAAAAAAATATCAGGGTAGTAAGCATAAATATTGTTCAGATATGTTTCAGATTTATACAAATGTGTGTGTGCATGCTCACATGTGTGTATGAGAGTGTATATATAAAATATGTTTCTTACTGTAGGTCAGGGTAAAAACTGCTTGAAAACCATCGCTTTACAGGGTAGGGTCTATGGCTTCTTGGTCCTCTAAGGGACCCCTTTGCAATGTAACCACAGGACAATAAACCACACTGTTTGAAGTTCTCTTTTTGGTGTGGTGACCACCCTGGCTAGACTGGCTGCACTCCCCAGTTGACAAACACTGGCTAGTGTGGCATCGTAGCCAGTACTTACCACTATATATTTATGGTCTGATCTACATCCACAGCCTTTTCTGATCTATGAAGTTACTGTCAGCACACTGCGAGGTATTATTTATCTTCCTCCCATGGTTTTGGGTGACAAAGACTCATCCCTGGGAAAAATACCACCAGGAAGCTTGCCCCTTAAGAAACAACAAAGCGCTTTCTCAGTGTTCCATTTCCAGCTTCTGCCTTTTGGCTTATCCGACTGACAGAAATTAAAGCTGCACATCTGCACAGACCAGAGGCTGTATAATAACTGAAGAACAGCCTATAAGCAGTTCAAAAATTCTTCAGATTCCTTCTGCTCTGTCTGGGTAATGGGGACTGAGATTGAGATAGGAACAGGAGAGCCTGAGACCTCCTGAAACAGGAACATCCACCGTGACACTAGCAGTTCTAGTAAAGAGAATTGAACATTAACTATATCATGAAGACCCCTGCACTGCAGTGTCATGGTCACTCACTTAACCTTTGCGGGTCACAGTCCTCTGAATGGTAAAATCACACTTGAATCGAGTGAAGGTTTGTGATAGAGCTATAATGAGAAAAAATAGAGAGTTGGAGTAAGCAGCTTGTGATGTAAAAACTCAAAATATTATTTTCCGGGTAGAACAGAAGCATGTTTCTTGCTCACATAACAGTCCAGGGAGGATGGTCCTAGGTGGCTATGCAGAATCCTTCAGGAACCCAAGCTGATGGCTACTCTGCCATCTTCCACATGGTCCCTCTCCCAGGATTTCTCTGGGACATGCCGTTACAAATGGGGCACAAGTATGAAGGCATGTGTCTGGAATGGTTCATGGGCCTGGCATGGAAGTGGCATACGTTGCTTCTACTCAGACCCTTTTAGCTGGAAGTTAACCACATGGCCACAGCTAACAGCAGGGAGGCTGGGGAATGCAGTTTACCTGTGGAAGACATTGATGACCAGCTCACAGACTCTTTCGCAGGAATTAACAGTCACCAGGTGACTATCTCACTTAATCCTCACACATCCTTAGGTGTGGTAGGTCATACCATCTTAATTTTACAGAATAGGAAACTGAGGTCCAGAAGATTTAAGTAACATCTAAGCAAACCGTTCTCAGCCTCCCCCTTAACATGGCAATCATTAATTGAGTATTTACTACATTTCAGGTGCTTTTAATGCATCAAAAATTAATTGTCTTTAATTGACTTATGGTGGTAGGCAAAAGTGGACCCCCTCCAAAGTATCCACATCCTAAACCCTGGAATGCATAAATGCGTTATGTTACATGGCAAAAGGAACTTTGCAGATGTAATTAAGGTTTGGGACCTTAAAATAAGGGAGATTATCTTGGACTATCTAGGTGGGTCAAGTATTATTACACGGGCCCTTAAAAGCAGAGAATTTTCTCTGGCTGGAATCAGAGAGATGCAGCAGAAGTGGAAGTCAGAGAGATTCCAAGTGTATGAAGAATTTCATGTGCCCTTACTGGTTCTGAAATATCAGGGGCTCTGTGCAAGGACAGGAGAGAAGTCTCTGGGAGCTAAGGGGGCAGCCCCCAGCTCACAGCCATCAGGGAAATGGGACCTTATCCTACAACCGCAAGGAACTGAATTCTGCCAACAACCTGATTACACTTGAAAGCAATTTTTTCCCCGGAGCCTCCAGAAAGGAACACAGCCCTACTGACACCTTGACTTCAGCCTCGAGAGACCCTGAACAGAGAAATTCAGGTGAACCACACCGTGCCTGGACTCTCTGTCCCACAGAAACTCAGATAATAAATGGGGGTAGTTTCAAGCCACTAAGTGTGTGTGGTTATTTGTTACAGCAGCAATAGAAAACTAATGTGCTTATCTTCTCTCAGTCTTTGAGTATAAATATTCTTATTTGAATTTTCTGGATTGATGAAAGTGAAATTCAAAGCAGAACTGAGATTTGAATCTAGATTTCTGTGGCTTCAAAGTGCCTTTTCCCCTGAGATATTCTGCTTCCTTCCATGAGATGTTGAATGCCTTGTAAAATGTACATAGTGCTATGTAAATAAAAGGTAAGTTTATTAGTATTAGGAGTAATGTTTATTCCATAAATGTAAATATGTTTTAAGAGTAAATGACCAAAAAAGATACTGAACTATAGCAGACACAAAAGTAGTTTGTTTGGATTTTATTTTCAAGTCTAAAATAAAAATAAGAGAGAGCTATTGTGTTGTTCTTTATGACTTTTACGAAAATTAAACAAGCCCATTTTTGTTTGTATAAATAATTAAGAGATCCATTTTAGTTCTATGACTTTGTGCCAATATCAAATTAAAGCAAAGTAGGGATGGAAAGTTTAATCCATCTTTTATTTTCTAAGACACTGAGTTACTTTTTTGGTCTGGCAGGTGGAAGAATTACTTTTCCCTGACAAGAATTCTCTGATTACACTCACCTATATGAGGGAAACAAAGAAATAAGTGACAGTTTAGGATTTCATGAGGTTCAACTTTGTTGAAAAACAGAATTTACATGTAAAAATTCTAATGTCAACCTTTCATGATGATAAATCTTTGGAAAGAATCCATATGAAAGAGCTCCTTACTGTGTATGTAGAATTTTCCCAACCTTTGCTCTGAAAGAAATTAGGAATTGAGGCTGATATTCCTCATATCCATTGAGGATAATATTTTCAATTTATTAGATAATATTTGTCCTCTTTCTAAACTCTACCGCCAGTTTCAGACTGTTGCAGATCACTGAACTGTTTGTATTTAGATTATTTGGGTGAAGCCCACCTGCGGATCGGTGATAATTGCCTTGCTCTCGTTTCTTTGTGTCTTCAGTGTCCATGCTTGAAATTCAGTATTCCAGGTGAATTTTTTTTTCCATGAAAGATAAACATAAATGCAGATAAACAAGCAAAAGTCTCCTTACTTTTTTATGGTTTAAGACTACAATATTTAAGAAGATTACAATTACAATAAGCAAAAAAATAACAGAAACAGATGTGGAATGCTCATTTCTAAGACACCAGGAGTTCTATTTCATTTGTGTCATCTGAACGTCTCCGCTGCATCTAACTTTTTCTTTTTCTCTTGTCCCCATAGGAATACTATGACAAAGGAGATTACATTATTAGAGAGGGCGAGGAAGGAAGTACCTTTTTCATTTTAGCAAAAGGAAAGGTAACTATTAGTTAAAGCTTACTTAAAGTAAATCAAAGAATCGTATCAAATCTGTTGGCCATAAACGCAGCAGTGTTCTGCATTGCAGCCTAAGTCCTCTGTCTGCAGTGAGCAGTTAAAGGACCTTCTGCTCAGAAGAGTCCTGGGGAAGCAGCGGGGGGCAGTCTGAGCACTGGCTTTGGGCCCACAGGAGACTTGTCTTGGGTTCCAGCTGATTTAGTAATTTCTTAGTGACCTTAGTCAGGTCACTTGGCTTTCTTTGGATGTCGTTTCATTGTGTATAAAATGACTGGATTATTTCTAATAATCCAATGAGTGTGTGATTCTCAGCCCAGGGGTCTAAGATCAAGGGCTGGAACATTTCCCCAACCCACTGATAAGACAAACAACAGGTGGAAGAGAATGAACTAGACAATTGAGGACAGAATGATCAGGCATCAAGCTGTAGAACAATATGGCTCAGAACTTCAATTCGTACACAGTTGCTCAAGTTGATTTAGATGCTGATGAAAATTTTATGCTAATATAGACAGCAAATCTTTTTTTTAACTAGATGTTGAGTGGATAACATGTTGCCGGTTATTCCCAGCTTGACTCTTTACAATGTTCCTCAGAGACAAAAAGCATTTGTGGAATATTGATGGAAAGGATAAAATCTTGAGCACCTGTGTCTATAAACTGTCAGATTTTCACATATGCTCTTTCTTCCATGGAAGAGTTTATCATCAGAGAATCAGACACTGCCCTTAGTAAACTGGTTTTGTGGTTGAACTTTGAACTGGACCCCCAGTGACGGAAAAAAATTTTTTAACATAATAGTTTCAGAAACTCTTCAACACTCAGAACCACTTTTTATCATTTCTCCTCAACCTGGACCTCATACTTTGAAAGAATCCTGGTTAATAAACAAATTGCATTTATCATTTAAAAATTTTTAAATTTATTGTGATTTCCATAAGTGCTAACCAGAATTTCTAATCAGAATGATGCAGTCCTTCTTACCATGTTGAACTGGAATAATTCTAGCCACAAAAGGGAATATTGAAGTTTTTGTTTGGCTCTGCTGTGGGGGTTCTTGAACCTTCCTGGGCTGTGGATCGCATTGGGACTGTCATGAAAGTTGTGGACCCTCCTCTATATCCACATTTTGCATTCAGGTTTAGAGGGTACACAGGAATCAACAAGTCAGTCATGGACATGAGATTTAGAACTCTTGATACTCAGTCTTATTCGTGATTGATTTGTCAACTCCATTTGGCTTTTTGAAAAAATAAAGTTCCCACAGGACCATTATTATTTGCTTTGAGCATCCTTAGGAAGGAATAACTGGATTCATGTAAAAAATTATAACTTTGAGTCGTGAGGTTTGGATGGAGAAGCTTCCTCTTATAAAAGGTGGATTGTGTTCAATCACAGGATTTTCTAGTCCATCCAAATGAGGTGGCTATAGTTAGATTGTCCTAACTACTGCAAAATTAAAGCAAAGGCTTTGATTTTTCCTTATTGAGTCAAGTTTATACAGAACAGGAGGGTCTGGTTGAATGGATATGTGTTCAGATTTTCCTTATTTTCTTCTCTCTCTCTCTCTTCTTAAATTATTTGACATCATTTAGGTAAAAGTCACCCAGAGTACTGAGGGCCATGATCAACCACAACTGATAAAAACTCTGCAGAAAGGAGAATATTTTGGAGAAAAAGCTCTTATCAGGTGAATCTATGAATTTATATTCCATACATAAATAATTCTTTGGTTGTTTTGCATGTGCACCTACCCACTGAGAGTTGTCAAACTGAGCTACCAAATTAATGGCAGCCATTATCCAGGAAATAAACAAATTTTTAAACTGAATTCTAAAATATTCATTGTTAAGCAGTAAATAAGTATATTAATTCTGCACGGGAAATAATTTAGAAAGTCTTAAGTCTACTAGTGAAAATAAAATTGGTCTTCTCTTAGAATTTTTAGTTTAAAAGAGAAAGAAATTAAAGGCATGAAATTTTAAATTTTCCCATAAGAATGAGTTTTTATATTTTCAAGGTTTGAAATATTGTCCTGTTTTACCCTTTAAGAAATGATCAAATAATGACTTTACGTATTTTTTGTGTTTTTAAATCATTATGTCAAAGGTAATATTTTCTTAAGAATTTTTATTGGTTCATTTTGCAAGCTTTAGAAACAACTCAAAATAGTGTATTTGACATTTCTACCTGAACCTTAGGCCTTTTGAGATATGAGTTTATTTACTGTTGATCTAAGTTATGGAAGAAACATTTGTAAAGATTAATCAAATTGCTCAGGAGACACTATGTGCTTCCTGGAACTCAGAAAACAACTTCAAGTCTAAAAAAAACTTTTCTTAAATATAAATAACTTTATAAAAATTCAAGTTAGAATTTTGAGCAACAGACTCTTTTTTGGAGTTACATATGTTTTTAAATGAATACTTGAAATTAATTAAGAAAGAATTTAAAATTTATGTTATTACTAAATGCTTTTTATTTCATATTTATGCTTATAAAAATGAGTAGTGTGTCTGCTCATTTTTCTTCCTTTTTAATTTTTGTCTGTGAAGCCCTAGTTCTGCTGATTTACGTGTCAGGATTACATTAAGTACAGAGCAAAGAAAAAGTGTTCATATATTACCTGAGGACAAATTTGATTCTTTAAAAATCATAAAGCTCTTATTTTTTAAAGAAAATTAAACTACTTAATCCTAGTAAGTTATGGCTATTTTGTAAACAATTTAAAAATTGAATTTAAAGACAAGTTGAATTTTTATTTCCCATTTTCTAGCTGGTAATGAACTTGTTTCAATAACAGGGAAATTGTCCTCTTTTGTTTGCTTATTTGTGACAATATGAATTTGTTCATGTAATGCAATCATGTAATACCATTATTCAAGACTTCAATGTATTTGTTCTTAACATTAACACATTATTTTTCTCATACCTTCAAGCAAAACTATTAAAGTTTGAAAGTGCAGAGAAATTATTTATAAATGCACTATAGACTCAAGATAGCTCTGGAAAGGAAATATGCTGTCTGGTTATGCTGGATCTGAAATAATTTGTGCTCTATGTTGCAACCAGCCAATTACGGTGCTTTACCATGAGAAACATGGGGATTTATATTTAATAAAGACACAACTCCCCAAAGCATTTAAAATGTAAAGCTAAAATCAATGAGGAGGAAAGTTGGATACAAATATTTTTACATTTTTGTGCATTTTTATGCTATCACTTTTTAGGGCCACTGACTGTGGCTCAATGTTCCTTATATTCTGTGTATTTTCCATGTATTTCCATTAAATAGTCCCAGGAGTTCTTTCAGCATTTTATGTGCAAAAATAAATCCGTGGCACTTACACAGTTATTATGAAAGAAACAGATGTGTATTTGTAAACATCTAATACTTGCGCACTGTTTGCAGAGAATATTCCTAGTCAAAATCATGACACTGTCAAGTGAAAGGATGTCATACCTCTTTTTTTTTGAACTAACAAAGCAAATAGTTTACCCATATCCAAGATCATATCATATAGATATCCACACACATGCAAGCTGAGTGTAAACTACCCAGCTCCCAACTCAAAAGCATATCAAGCTGAAAGGTTTCACCAGTGTCTTCTAGCAAGGATCCTGTAAACTTGGGAGGGACTGTGGGTTATGTCAGAAGGTTTCTGGATGCCAGCTATGTGGATGGGGGACCTCTCTGGAATGAGAGATGGGCTGCCAGCGTTTTCCCTGTCCCATTGCTAAAGGAAGATGAAAGAACTATACTTTTTGTGATGCTGTTTTTGATGAAGTTGCTTAGAGCAGTCTTAATATGATTGCTGCTCCAAGTTACCTTAAATAAATCTCAGAGCACTGAGTACCATATGGATGTACCTTCTTTTCAGGGTCTTTAGTTTGGAACTAATAGAGGGAGACAACTAACATAAACAAAGGTCTCTAAAGAAATACTTTACCTGGTGCTGGACCCATTGGTATTCATTAGGTAATTAAATTTACCATCATTAGATCATATGCTATAATTCATTGTATCTAAGGGGATTATTGTGAGATGCACTATTATATTATGTACCCCTGAGAAAGAAAGACAGTGCTATTAATTACACTATGACTCATCGTCAATTGTAAGGCATGCTCTGATTTCAGAGATTTTAATGGAAAATGTACATCTTAGACTATGAAATGAAAGATTTTAGTATTTCTTTAATTCACTGGGTGATATGACACTAAAAACACTTTCTTCAGGTTTTATTCCTGACTGGTTTGTTAGAAGTTAATTACTTCAATGTTTTTCTCATAAATTTCTTTGATCGGTTCATTTCAATTTTGGCTGCTTATTAGTTAGCAATTCCTGTTTGATCAGAATAGGGCTATCTTATTTGGGCTGACACAGAGCGCAGAATGAAATTCCACGCACAGTTGCACTCACTGATTCCTTTACATTCTTAGTGCATTTAACTTCTTCTCCTCTGTATTCCTTGTGTGCATGCCCTTTATTAGGACACATTTCAAATCCTTTTTTTGGGAAGGGGTAGAGTATAAATTATGATTTTTTAAAAAAAGCATAATCTTTGGAAGGTTTAAGTGACGGTGTTTCATACCAGTAGCAGATTTCCCTAATAAAAATGGATGTTTAATTTCTCACTAGAAAATTGACTTTCCTGTTTTTATCTGCAGTGAAGATGTCAGATCAGCTAACATTATTGCTGAAGAAAATGATGTTGCATGCCTGGTTATAGATCGTGAGTGAGTATACTGATGTTGTCGGAGAATGCAGGCTACCGCCACCTTTGAAGACTTGGCCTTCTGTTACTACAAGGGCCCATCTGTCTTCCCTTTCATCAGCACTTGGAAACGCTGGCCAATCCTCAGCTGCGAGTACATTCGATTAAAATTCATGGGAAGGAACTGGGCCTTCTGATCTGAATCTGTCTGCGGCAGTGGCAGATGCTGGCAGGCTAAATATTTTGTGTGCAGAGTTTGTACATAAATATCAGCAATAGACTGGTTTAAATTCTGCATCTTACAGAGAAATAAGCTTATTAGTACTCTCATGGATTTTTCCCCATACAGTGTAGTGAACAATTTCATAATTTATTGCTAAAATGCTCTAAGCCGTCAGAAACCTCTCTCTCTCAAAATATAAAATGTTCATTAGCTAGATGTATTCCCAGAGAAGTTTTAGTTTAATGCTTGTAGTAATTTGCAGAAGATGTGTGTCAATATTAATCTCTAAATGTCTGAGGTTATTTCTCAGAATATTTCATTTTGTGTCCTTAACTCACTTCAAATCAAATTTGAATCTGACCCCTTGGATCTCTCATTAATCAGTTGAATATTTATTGACTATCTAGATATAAAAAAGGAAATTCAAATATACCAAAACTAGGCCATTGTCTGACAAAAGCCATGTATAGTCAAAAGAAATAGGGCATACTCATGAAATATTAACAAAAAATAGTAAAATGACAATAGGTGTCACAAGAGTATGTAGATGATTGCTAATTCAATACAACATTTATTGAACATAGAATCATAGAGATTTAGAGCTGGAAAGAACTTTGGAATATTTTACAAAATCTTTTTATTATGGAAAATTTCAAACATATTAAAAAATAGGATGATATTATGGACCCCATCATGCAAGCTCAAGAATTATCAATTAAAGCCTTTTCTATACCACTTTGCCATCCTCTCCCTGCCTTCTACACACTATTTTCAAGCAAATTCCAAACATAAAATTATTTCATCTATGAATTTTACTAGCATCTCTAAAAGCTAAGTATTATTTATAATACATGACCACAATAACATAACATGCCTAAAAAGTTACCAATTCTTTATTTATTATTTTTTAATTGAGGTATAATTAACACATAACATTATATTAGTGTCAGGTGCACAACATAATGATCCAATATATGGATACATTGCAAAATGGTCACTACAATAAGTCTAGTTAGCATCCATCACCACACATAGGACAATAATTCTTAGTATCACTTTGAGTTACTTTAATCTTTCCCTTACAGATAAAAAAAAGTAAGTCCAGGTCAGTTAAAGAATTGCCCCCGGGCTTCCCTGGTGGCGCAGTAGTTGAGAGTCCGCCTGCCGATGCAGGGGACACGGGTTCGTGCCCCGGTCCAGGAAGATCCCACGTGCCGCGGAGCGGCTGGGCCCGTGAGCCATGGCCGCTGAGCCTGCGCGTCCGGAGCCGAGAGGCCATGACAGTGAGAAGCCCGCGTACCGCAAAAAAAAAAAAAAAAAAAAAAAGAATTGCCCCAACAGTGTCATCTGTGATGGAACAGGGGCTTCTGCCCAGGTCTTCCAGTGCCTTTCAGCAGTCTTTCCACCATGCCATTTGGCTCCCATAGCATGTGTTCAGAAGGGAAGCAATCACAATACTGTGAAGTGGGAAAAGTTTTACTTTATTTTTTAAGTGTGGAAATGGGGCTTAAAATTCACAGGAGTTTTCTAGGCAAAGAGGAAATGTGGAAATCTCTCCAGGTGAAGTAAACCTTAAAAACAAAGGCATAGGGCTAGGAAGTGCAAATCATGTTCAGATGAAGGTAATCTTTGGTGGCAGCTCTCAAATGGAAAATATATTGATATGGTATTGCCCTGACAATGCATTGTTTTGTATATGAGTTCCTTAAAAATATATGCATGCACTAAATAGCATTAGTGGTGTGGTAAAATCTTATAAATTGCTCCAAAATGCAAGGACTAAAAACAGGATAGAAAGGAAGAACTCCTCCCCCTTTTCTTTATTATAATCACATAACCAAATATTTATACAATATCTCATGGATTCATAATCCATGTAAAGGATGCAATGGTTTTTATAGAGTTTATAAATTATTTGGAAGTTTATAATTTTAAAACTCTTAATTTACATGTGCATAGTTGAGATTCTTATAACATAGAGAGTACTGTCCTGTTAGACACAATGAGACATTAAAAGTTACATGAATTTATTCTGTGCATAAGAGAAACTGAATATCAGGTATGACTGGGTTGACCTACATCCTGGATTTCCTGGGACAGTTCTGGTTATTCCAACATGTTTATGATTGGCACTCCCCTTCACTCTGGAAAACATTCAGTTTGAATGATAAATTATATGATCATTGCAGCTATCACGTATAAAGCTAGATTAAGATCCCATAATAATTCTCCCATAGTACCCTTACATCATTGTTCACACTTTATTTGATTGCTTTATTTAACATCTGTCTTCCCACTCTTCTGTTTCTTCATGAGGACAGAAACATTTACTTTGTTCGCTGCTGTTGCTGTGCCAGCATTTGACATAGTCCTTGGCATAACAGGAAGCGATCCAGATGCTGGCTTTAATAAAGGACACCATCCTTGCAATGAAATATAGTGACTGAAAGCCTATGGCTCTTTATTTCTTCTTTCCTAATTCATCATTTTAAAAATGCATACTTGAATGTTACAGCTAGAATGTTGTAGCCGTTTAAACTTTAGTTTGTGGAGAATTTCTATAGACCTGTGACACCAGTGTCACATTTAAAAAATCAAATTTCTTTACAACAATACTTCAATTAGTTTCATAGCAAGCAAGATAATGGTGACATGTAGAATAAATAAAATCAATGGGATAGGGAGGGTGGGAGGGAGATGCAAGAGGGAGGGGATATGGGGATATATGTATACCTATAGCTGATTCACTTTGTTATACAGCAGAAACTAACACAACATTGTAAAGCAATTATACTCCAATAAAGATGTTAAAAAATAAATAAATAAAAATAAAAAAATAAAAGAGACCAAAAAAAAAAAAAGCAAAGTACAAGAAGTATTTCCTTTTACTTGAAAATTTCAACCATTGGGAATTTGAAATTGCATGGCAATACTCTTGTTTCTCACTACTGTACAGTCAGCAAAGGACGGTCCACAGAGCAGGGCAGAAAAGAGTGCCTAGTAGATCTGAAGGGGGAAATGGAAAATACCCAGCACAGTGCATAAGGTATACTTAATAATGTAAGTGTAGGTTGGTGGTCAGTTAAATGTGGGTAGAGGTCTTCAGGGCTAGGCAGGCAGTAAGTGGCAACAGTACACTAATGAGGGGAATTCTGACTTATTGGTTTCAGTTTTAGGTGTTTTGAGGTAAATTTTCATTCCTTTCATTTCTTTATGTCCGGGAGCTTAAGATTTACTGAGGTGATTAAAGCATGGTTTCTAGAAGGATACTGTTTTGTAGTAGGGAAGAGAACTACCCTGAAAATCACGAATCCAGATAGATTGTCAAGTGTGGGGTGCGGGAAGCATTGGAAGGATAATCCAGAAAATAGGTTTGTTTGGTGAGGAAGGGGATTCTTTTTTTCTCATGGGCAGTGCCCTATGTAAGAATTCCAAGAGATAAGTGACTGGGGACAGGCAGATTAGATGGGACAGGTAACAAACCTGTGATCCGTGAGGGTGAGGGAGGTAACGGGAAGATGCTGGCTGAGCCTCAGACAGGGAACTACTAAGTTAAGGTAAATGATTTGGATTTAATTATGAAGGAATGTGAAATGAGTAGTATTATCTACGGACAAAGAAGAGATAAATTGTATCCTTGACTTTAAAAATAAATAGCTTAATTAATTTGGTTAAGCAAAGTTAGAAAAATCTGGGACCCATGTAACCTGTTGATTCAGTAAACAGATCATGTAGCCTATTTCCTTTTCACTGTCTTCTTTAAAAAAAAAAAAAAAAAAAAGAACAATATTGGTAAACCTGAACCACAAGGGGGAAGATTACAGAAATGGTGTCTCTTCTCATTGATAGCCTCTTTGCTTTCAGAAACTCAAAGGATCAATTATATAGCTTCCAATAACTATTCTACATGTGACAGCAATTTTAATGTAACATAAATTATTGAAAAACAATTTGCAAAGCTGTGCATAACCATACAAATAGTCTTTCATGAGCTTAAGAAGAATGGCAAGTTGCAATGGTAACTCTCAGCGCTGAGCTTTTTATTTTATCTTATTTTATTCATTTAGAACATTCAACCAAACAGTCGGGACTTTTGAAGAACTCCAAAAATACCTTGAAGGGTATGTGGCAAACCTGAATCGTGATGATGAAAAAAGACATGCGAAGTAAGTGGAGGAATATTTTCCTAAGCCGGATGTAGCAGTTGATAAAGAAGGGGACTGAAGGGTGTGGTTTGCTGTGGCGTAACTTTTAGTGTGTTGCCATTAGAAAATTTGGGGGAGTTCTTTTAAATTGTTCTTCCACAAAGAGGATACCATTTGCCTGGTATCCTCTACCAGGATAATAATAGTATGGCTATTATTTTAGTCAATAAATAGTTTCTTATTTTCAGTGATGGGTAGTAATGTTAGGAAGAAATTTCCTGATAGAAAACCTTGGGAAAGGGATTCTTTACATTGACTGGTGACTTAGTTCAAAAGGACATTAATTCAGAAAGGAAGGCTCTCTTGCCCATGGAAATCAAACAGGAATACCAAGGCATAGCGTAGCCCATTCATTCTGATTCCAGGTAAAGAGCTAGGGCTAGAGTCTGGGTTATTTCAAAATATAAGGGAGCTGTTGCCCATGGCGTTGTGTGTTGGGTTCTAAATGTAGTAATACTGATGAAAATGGTTTTTTGTTTAATAGAAACAATACTTTGTAAAATTAAAATTATTTGAAAATCCTTTGCTAAAACATTTTGTAGAATGAATACTTAAGCATATATTCACCAGATAGTACCATTACAATTGAAGAGTCAAGAGTTCTAGAAGACTGACCTTTGAGTTAAATTAGAGCATTCAGTCAGGACTGCATAAGTTTGTTTTTGTTTTTTTTTTCTTGCAGGGAGCATACTTGCAGTTTTTATGCCAAAGGCCTTTTGTAGCGAGAACAATCTATAAATACATAACCCAGAACAGTAGACTCTAATTAAAAGAGAATTGAGTATTTCCAAGTAACAATACTTAGACATAAAATATGAACTGTATTTTTCATGTTTCACAAAGCAGTTATTCTGGTTCAGCCAGAGAAATCTTCAAGGTCTGACAAAAATAGCAAAATATGGCAAAGATTCTCAGTGTGGAATCCTCCTGTATGTGCAACAAAGGAAGTGGCTCTCTTTTCTGGTTTTATTTACTCTCACTGATTCTTTGTTTTTTAAACAGCTTTATTGAGATGTATTTCAAATACCACACAATTCACCTGTTTTTACCTCTCATTGATTCAGTTTGACTTTTGTCTATTTTTTATTGTGTGTGAGTATATCTGTTTTTTATTTATATAGTCTATTGTTTTTCTCCCCAGATGTAACTGAATCTGACCCTATAAGAGTTGAGATAAGCTCTATGGTTACTATGGGCAGTAATTACTGGCAGAAATAAGACTGTTGTAAGGGTGGTATTTATGTGTGCCGTGACCCCTGCTTGCCCAAGGGAGCGTATGTAAAGTTTCTCTTATCTCCTACAGGAGATCCATGTCTAGCTGGAAGCTGTCCAAAGCACTCTCTTTGGAGATGATTCAGCTGAAGGAGAAAGTGGCCAGATTTTCCTCATCATCCCCATTCCAGAACCTTGAGATTATCGCAACACTGGGCGTTGGTGGGTTCGGAAGAGTTGAGCTTGTAAGGGGTTTACGTTTCAAGCATCTGAGAGAAGCCTTTTGACTATTTTTTTGTTTTGTATTCCAGTGTATGTCAGAGGAATATATGCATTGTTATTGCTATCTAAACATTGCTTTGAACAGAAATTGAGAAAGTACACTTTTCACTCTTTATGTTGTGTAATAGCAGGTCTGTGCTAGTAACTTATAATAATATAGCTGCAATTTCAAGCCTCTTACATCACATCCTTTTGTGATTTTTTTTTTGCTTGAGGGCAGTTAGTTATTGGAGAATGTACCAGTAACCATACCCAAAGGCTACAAAACATAAAATGTGTTTCCTAACAGCAAAATGTATGTATACATACGTTCACGATGCATTAACTGTATGCTAAAGCAAAGAAGAACGTGTCCAGTGAAAGTGTCATAGAATGAAATCTTTAATATCATAGCTCCATTTCTTAAACAACTCCCCTGCCATGTGTGTATTTGGCTTTCATTATTCTATTTTTGGGTTGCCAAATTTTCTATCAAAAAAAAAATGCTGAATGCAAGGAGATGTTTGAAGAGCAGCCTTCTGTAGTGCTGGTCAGGACAGCTGGGAACTTATGGCCTGATTTCGGCTGCATCTTCCATATCACCACCCCTCTGAGCTTTATAATCAGCTTCCAAAGAGTAGCAGAGCGGTGCTGTCAGATCAAGTGCTCTGAGGAAACGGTAGAATGGAGATCTGTGACCTTACTGGGTAGAGATGGCGCTGAACCCTTGGCAATTACCAAGCCCTTCTTTGCCCAGCAGATTTGTAACAATTCACTGTACATTAACCTTGGGAACTATGCTGACACTTCCATCTGATGGGTGGCAGATCTGAAATGCTGCCAGGAGACTCTGGGTAGTAAACTTTACACCCAGTCAATTCTTGGGTAAGGGGGGAAGAAACGATTTCTTAATAGGCCAAAGAGTATTTGTAGTGTTTCTTCTGCCATATGGAGAGATAAGGGAGAGATCCATCTGCTGTATTTTTCATCAAAATCTTGGCAAAAGGATTGAATTAACAATGCTGAGGTTTCCTTTTTATATAGTTAGATAATAATAATTGAAACAATAATTCCACCATTGATTTAAAAGTCATAGGCAGCACTCATGGCAACTGTGAGCAAAATGTGGGGTGCAACCATTTCTGCACAGTTTCATTACTTGTCAAATATAGTCTGCTAATGGAGTTTTAAAAGTCTATCTGAATGCTTATTAAATTTTAAAAATTTCCTTTTAAGGGAAAATCCTGTTTGTCCATCTAGAGCATGGTCTCCAACAGAGCTTTCTGCGCTGATGGAAATGTTCAGTATCTGTGTGTCCAGTAGGGTAGCCACTGGCTATATGTGGCTGGAGAGCTTTTGGATCACGCAACTGAGGAACTGAATTTTTAATTTTAATCAATTTAAAATTAACCTTATGCAACTAGTGGCTATTATATTGGATCGTGCAGATATGAATCTTGATTTAATATGTCTTGTTTTGAAACTCAAAGAAGTGACTATTAAGAAAAAACAGTTTTTGGCAATTCTGGCCAAAGTTTTTCATGTCACATACTCAAAACTGAAGAGATTTCTAAACATTCAATCTTCTAACTAGAGTATTTTTCTTGTTTCAATACAAGCATTCTAGAGCCATGTTCCAGATACGTGAACTCTTTTGGAAATTACAGTGAAAAGGAAGTGTGTACACCTGGATAAAATTCAGTTCCCAGAGGGATAAGTGGTTAAAAGCTTACATGCTATTTAAATGTGAAAGAATTCGAACTCTCATTAGTTAACATGTTTTATGTAGATATTGCAAATCTTTCCTAGTAAGTTCATTTTGAGGGCTTGTTCTCTTCTTCCCTAGGTTAAGGTAAAAAATGAGAATGTTGCTTTTGCAATGAAGTGTATAAGGAAAAAGCACATAGTTGACACGAAACAGCAGGAGCATGTCTACGCAGAAAAGAGGATCCTGGAAGAGCTGTGCTCCCCCTTCATCGTGAAGTAAGCGAGCATCTCGCTCCCAGAACTTAGCATCTTAGGCTCTCCTTTTGAGTGTTTCCATGCAAGAGGACAGAGGAGGAAGAGAAGGCCTCGCTCTGAATTCTCCAGCCCAGTCACAGCGATGATACATAAAATGTTAGAAGTTTGAGATCTGAAGTCAAGAGTCCAGATTTTTTTATTCTTGGATATATCTCAGGAAAGTGTGTGGGGTGTATGTGTGTGTTTGTATGTGTGTGTGTGAATATAAAATTATTGTGGCAATAATTTGAACTGCTTATTTAACTCAGACCCAATGCAGAATTTGGGAAGCAAGAATTCATTCAGAACCCTTCAGGGGACGTGCTGCTGTTGAATTTCGACAAGAAGTGGCATCTGGACGTATTTAGGTTGTTGAGGAGCTGGTCCTAACAGTGCCTAGGTGCCAGAAGATCCACCGCCTTTACAGTTACTGCTTTCTTTAGCTATCGCCAGAGTTTGCAAGAGAAATGTATTATTCTAGGCCATGGCTCTCTTGTGAATTCATGGGTTAGTGGTGTAGGCCAGTTAAGGCATATTTTTTCCTACCTGTCTTAATGCTCCTGGAGTGTAGCTTTAGAGATTTCTGGGTGATGTAAAGTGCCTCTATAATGAGTAGCATCTATGCTTTTTTTTTTTTTTTTTTTTTTTTTGGTACACGGGCCTCTCACTGTTGTGGCCTCTCCCGTTGCGGAGCAGAGGCTCCGGACGCGCAGGCTCAGCGGCCATGGCTCACGGGCCCAGCCGCTCCGCGGCATGTGGGATCTTCCCGGACCGGGGCACGAACCCGTGTCCCCTGCATCAGCAGGCGGACTCTCAACCACTGCGCCACCAGGGAAGCCCCCAAAGTATTATTGATGATGCTCTTAAGCAACTTGGAAGACGTTTTAAAACTGGGTTTCTAATAATAACTGTGCTTTTCTTTATCTTCACAGATTATATCGCACTTTCAAGGACAATAAGTATGTATACATGCTTCTGGAGGCCTGCTTAGGTGGGGAGCTATGGAGTATATTAAGAGACAGGTAATGAAAAAGAATAATAAACAATAACTTTTGTCTCCTCCTGTGTCATCTAAAAGATGCTATGTTCATGATCATTTAAAGAGGCATGAAGAAAGTTATTAAGAAATGAGTCTAAGAACGTATTATCACTTGATAAAAAAGTAGTAATAGTGATATTTTCTTAGCTAACATTATAATCATGTAATAGGCACCCTGTAAAGCAGTTATTGTCATTCTCATATTAGGGATTAAAGAAGCCCAGGCTTAGAGTATGAACCATCCATGTCACATGGTTAGTATGAGGCAGAGTAAGTATAAACCCAGATGTTACTGATTCCAAACCTTGAGAAGAGAGATGATGAAAGGGGTGGAGAGTGGGAAAGCCCGGACTGAAAGGCAGAGTGAAACGTCTGCAAAGTTTCTGTTTTACAAAAGGGGTGATTTCCACACAATCAAAGCCACAGGTATTTACTAAGCTCCACCTATGTATAAGGCTCCATAGGAGACAGTGTGGGAGTTTTCTAAACAAAGTAAACTGTTCTAACCCCTCAAAGTATAACGTTTTCCTCCAATGAGTTTAGATTTTGTTTTGGGAGATAATGTAATGTGCAATTCTAAAACATTTCATTATTTAACGTGAAAACTAAATATGACAAAGAAGTTGGCAGTTTGTAACGAAATGTCCAATGAGTGTTGTGGATAGTGAGCTTGGAGAAGAGGAAAGATAGAAAAATGTGATGGTCAAGGAAGGACTTGAGCTAAACTCTAAAGACAAAATTTGGAAAGGCAGAGAGGAAGGTAAACCTCAGGAACATTAGGATAGGGTTAAGTGTCTTAACTTGCTGAGTAAGAGCAGAATTTGAATAGAGGACAAGGGCAGCAGAAAAGGAGATGGGAAGGTGGCTTTGCATTAGGCTGTGGAGGTTAATGCCAGGCCAAACATTTAGACAGCATTCCCTGGCTTAGTGATTCTCAGCCCTGGCTTCATGTCACAGTCTCATGGGTAGCTTTTACAAAGTAAAAATGCTGGGCCCTAATGCCAAAGGCTTTGATTTGGTTCAGTTGCAATGGGTCCAGAAAATGACTTTTAACTGCGTTTCAGGCAATTCTAATGTTCATTCATGGTCAAGAATCACCCACCTAGGTAATAAGAGACTTTTGAGCATCTGAGTAGAGATTCATGTGTTGTACTGGGAACATATTGTTGGATGGATCTGAATGCGGGAAACCTGGAAGGGTTGAGGAAACTTGCATGATACCTGCAGAAGCATTTGCGTCTTCCATCTTTGCTTCCATAGGCAAATCTTTTTAGAAAATATAAATCTATTTAGAGGTGGGAGTTCCTACTCTAGTGTTAGGCAATTTACCTGATCCATAAAACAGCCTTGTTAAGTCAGTAGTAAACCCATTTTACAGATACGAATCTGAGGCTCAGAACAGCAGAACAACTTGCCTAAGGATGCAGTTAGTGGAAGAAGAAGGAGTCAAAACCAGTTTCTCTCGTTCCAAAGCCACAGCCTTCTATTATACCATGCAGCAAATCACCACCACATTTCAATAATTCAGTATGTAAACCTACACACAGTGCTGACACAGGGCAACTCTAATATCATCAAGGTGCACTAAATAGGAAAGAGTTATGACCCTGTTTCTACATAGGTTATTGTTACAAGCTATACAAACAGGAAATGAAAATGATCACTTGAGTCGTTTTTAGTCAAGCAATCAAATGGAGAAGTCTGGTTCAAGCGCTCCATTGAAATAGTTGCATTTTCCCCAGAGTTTGCCAGAGATGTCTTTGAAAAGTTTTATTTTCTTGTCTTTCCATTTTATATGTTCATATATGATTGCCGGAAACAATTGTTTGGATGTAGACACTTTAATTTTAGTGAAGTGGTTCTTGTTTGCATCAAGTATCCCCCTAAATTTCTTTATAATCAGTGGTCTAATTCATTGACAGCATGAAGTATTTTTTAGTGCTAATGCCATACAAAATGTTTATATTGCATAAATTTACTGTATAATAATTGACACCTAGAATCTAGAACAAGGATGTGTGTCTAGAGTATTAAGAGGGAAAATGATTTCATTGCAGAGGCAGCTTTGATGAACCCACCTCCAAGTTCTGTGTTGCTTGTGTGACAGAAGCATTCGATTACCTACATCAACTAGGTATTATCTACAGAGACCTGAAACCAGAAAACTTAATTCTAGATGCTGAGGGCTATCTTAAATTGGTAAGACAAATGCTGCAACTTACAGTATCGTATGAGATATTTCTAAACACAAAGCTGTGTTACAGTTGCAATTCTCTTTTAATTTTGGTACATTTGTTATTGTCATTCTGGGGGATATGGCCTTTGAAATCAGCACACTTAACACAGGGAGCTGTGCTACAAGTACATTCTTTTTGGCCTAGGCCTTGCAGGTTTCAACCATATTTGTGACTCCTACTAAGGATTCAAATAATAGAAAGCCTTTAAAATTGGATTTTGTTAGCATTTTTATATAATTTCAGGTAGGTTTTAATAAATTCCTGCTACATATAGGGATTAGCTATGAGGAATAAGGAAAGAAGATAGTACAGTTTCTGTCCCAAGACAGCCACTGTCTGTAGAGGGGGAAAAGATACACATATGAATGTTGGTAGTTTAAAAAAATATTTGTGAGTGATTCTAAGGTACAACCAGGGTTGAGAATCAGAACACAAGACCGTAGTTTCCTTGAGGACAGAGACTTTCCTTGCCATGCATGCCTAAGATGAATCCCCTTGCATGTCGCACAACAGAAAAAAATGCTACCAGTCATGTAAACTGCTTCTGGCGCAAAACTTTAAGAGAAATGGGCAGTCATAATAGTAGAAAGCAGGCATTTTGGATCTCAGGAGGGAACCTCATCAGGATGGGGAACCCAGGATGAATTTTCCCTGAGTCCCTTTTGTCAGGAGCTCAAGGACATTAAACCATCTCTGAACTTAACATTTACAAAGGTATTAGAAGTTTCTAATAACAGAACTTTTTTATATGGAAGTAATAATAGCTACCATTTAAAGTGTAAAGCTGTGCTAAATAAACATTTTACAGTTAATATATTTAACAATTGATGAGATGGGTTTTATCATCCACATATTATAGTGTTCAATTTAACCTTAGGAATTAAATTCACGATGTGTAATTGCTAGGTGATTTCTCTCCATAGTGAAGGAATAAAGTAAGTCCTTTCATGTGAAACCTGGCTGACTTCCAAGAAACATTTTGATGCATTCAAGCTTTATTTTATCCATGAAAGACAGCTTTGGGAACTGGTGAGGTACTAACACAAGGCCTTAATCCCTTGTCTCCTTCACAATTCCTTCATTGGGTATGCCTCTTACAGCTCTTTAGAAAAACCTTTTGGAATATTCTAGAAGTAAAGCCATCATGAAGGATGTAGATTATCCATTAAATTCATTCTTTTTTTTCTATTCAATTATTTTTTTTTTTATTGGAGTATAGTTACTTTACAATGGTGTGTTAGTTTCTGCTGTACAATGAAGTGAATCAGCTATACGTATACATATATCCCCTCCCTCTTGGACCTCCCTCCCACCCCACACCCATCCCACCCATCTAGGTCATCACAGAGCACTGAGCTGAGCTCCCTGTGCTATACAGCAGGTTCCCACTAGCTATCTGTTTTACATATGGTAGTATATACATGTCAATGCTGATCTCCCAATTCGTCCCACCCTCCCCTTCCCCACTGTATCCACATGTCTGTTCTCTACTTCTGCATCTCTGTTCCTGCCCTGCAAATAAGTTCATCTGTACCATTTGTCTAGATTCCACATATATGCATTAAAGTATGATATTTGTTTTCTTCTTTTCATACCTATTTTTAAGAAATCAGGTAGTATATTCAGTATTTATAGGCATAGACGTCCATAACCATCTCTTTTGTTAGCCATTGTTATCCATCAGCTAACTCATTTGACAACCAGCTAAATGAAGAGTAATAACTAAAGCCTTTAGAAATTAAAAAGTAAATGTTGAGTATTTCCATTTCTAGCTATATTTCAAACCAGATATATTGAAATTCTCTTATACAAAATGTCTCAAGTACTGGAGGAAACATGAAAAGCAGTATTATATGCCTGGCTGACTTTATAAGACAGCACTGGGAGTTCCCTGAGGCCGAGAACCAAACTTGGGCAGTAGTGAAGGGTGGAACTCAAACATTGAAGCTGCTGTCTTGTGGGCACCCAGCAATCCTAGGTGGCCTAGAGGTTTTATTTTAATTGCTGTACCTTCTGGGAACAGGAGACCAAGTTTTGGACCCGGGCAGTGTGGAAAGTTGAATCAGAGAACATTGTCAAGAGCCAGGAATCATACAGATTATACTTTCAGAGAAAAAGAAAACAGGGGAAAAATCTAATGTCTAAAGGCAGAGTACATGCAAGAAAACATGCTTTTCTCATTATTGGGCTCTTGGTAGAGGAACAAAAGAGTCTAAGAATACTTGGCCACAGGCTGGTCTTCATGGGGTTTTGGATGCCCAGTCTTCAAGGATGGAGAACCCCAAGAAAAAATTTAAATGAAAATGGATCCATGTTGGTAGTATGCCCAAGTTTCCACGAATCAATGTATATTCTCTCTGGAAGAATGTTCTCTCAACTTAGGATACAGAGAACTCCCAGAGATAAACTTCCAGGGAATATAAGCTCACATTAAAAAATAATGTTATATGCATGAGGAAAAAAGGTGCCAGGAACATTATTTGGCAGGCACATAAAAGTCTCACATATTGCAGTAATCAGATACAAAATATAAAATAAATACATCTAAGTTTTTTAAAAGTAAGAGAGGGACTAACAAATGAGTAAGGAACAGAGAATCTCAAAAAGGATCTAACATGTTTAGGAAAAAAATAACAAATAAAACTTCTATTAAGAAATTAAGAATATAATAATTGAAATTAAATATTCAATGGAAGTTTTCATTAATGGTGGAGTAGCTTGCATTGGACTAATCTCCTTGCTCAGGTTAATTATAATATATGTATAAAAATGTGTGAAAGCATTGGAGAGCAACAAGAAATAGACATTCAAACCTTGAAAATAGGGAACCACACTGGGTGAAATCCATATTAATACAGCTGTTCATTTAAAAGCACTCTTTATTGTATAAGGTATGAAGAATAAACTTTAGTTAACATCATACCTGACAGTGAAATATTGACTATTTTCCATTTAGATTATGAACAAGATTATTTTCTTTCACTATGTTTTTTCAAAATCGTAACAGAGGTCTTAGCAAAAGAAATAGAACACAAAAAAGCAATGAAAGGCCAAAGATTAGAAAGGAAGAAGTTACCTGTCTTTATCTGCAGACAACATGATTGTTTATGTAGAAAAGAATGAAGAATCTACCAACAAGTTCTGGACAGAATAAGTAAATTAAGCACAATTACAGGTACAAAGTCAATATACAAATAAAAATTTAATTTTTATATACTAGCAGTAAATATTTATAAATGAAATTAAAATGCCATTTGTAATATCAAAACATAAAATAAATGTGTAAAAAGACCTCTACATTGAAAACTACAAAGTTTTATTGACAGAAAAATGACTAAATGGTAAAATACACTATGTTCATAAATCATATAACTCAGTATTTCATAAGATGTTCAGTCTTGTCCAGTTGATCTACAGATTTAAGGCCAATGCAATAAAAATTGGAGCTGCCATTTTTATTTATTTTTATTTATGTTTATTCTAAATTTTGTTTTAAATTTGTTTAAAATTTGTTTTAAATTTGTTTTAAATTATGTTTATTCTAAAATTTACACAGAAATGCAGTTTAGAAGAGTCAATAACCACTTTGAAAAAAGAAGAACAAAATTGAGGAATTTATAATATGTGATGTCAGACTCACTATAAAGCTATAGTAATCAAGGCAGTGTGATAATGGTGTAAGGACAAATTACTTAATCTAACAGAATAAAGTCCAGAAATAGACATACACAGTCAACTGATTTTTTAGAAAAAATGGAAGGGCTAGTCTTCTCAACAGATATTGCTGAAACAATTGGATATATATGGTCAAAAAAAGGAACATGACTCCCACCACACACCATATAAAAAAATTAATTCAAGATGGATCATGGACCTATAAAGCACCCAGAAGTAAGCATAGAGTAATATCTTCACAACATGGGCTAGGCAGAGATTTCTTAGAACACTAGTAGTAAGCTTGAAAAGTTCAGGCTACTATAACAAAAATACTATAGACTAGGTGGCTTAAACAACAATTTATTTAGTTCTAGAAGCTGGAAAGTTCAAGGTCAAGGTGCTGGCTGATCTGGTGTCTGGTCAGGGCCAACTTCCTGGCTTATAGAGAGCTGTCTCCTCTTTTCTTCACATGGGAGAGAGACACAGAGAGAGACACACAGAGAGAGGGCTCTCTACTATCTCTTCTTATAAGGGTACTAATTCCATCATGGGGGTTTCACCCTCATGACCTAATTATCTCCCAAAGGCTTTACCTCCAAATTCCATCACACTGGGGATTAGGGTTTCAACATATAAATTTGGGGAGGGGAGATACAAACATGCAGTCCACAATAATTGGACTTCATCAAAATTAAAACATTCTCATCATCAGAATATACTGTTAAGAAAATGAATAGCCATGCCATAAACTAGTAGAAAATATTTGCAATATATCATTACATGACAAAGGACTTGTGTCCAGAAATATATAAAGAACTCAGTAAGAAAAGACAAACAACCCAGTTTTTAAAAATGATCAAAGATCTTGAAAAATCACTTTACAAGAGAAGACATAGGCATGATCAATAGACAATATCAATAGTCATTAGGAAACACAAATAAAAACCACAAAGATGTGACATTTCACATCCACTAGAGTGGCTATAATTTAAAAGATTGACAATACCAAGTGTAGATGAGGAAACTTGCCTAAATTTCAAGTGGGAAAGCAAAATTATAAACTGTTTGAAGAATAATTTGTCAGTTTCTCATAGAGTCAAACATACCCCTATTCTACAACAAGAAATTCCACTCCTTAGTAGAAATTCCACTCCTTGTTATTTATCCAGGAAAATTGAAATCGTGTTTTCAAAATTCTTGGACAAGAATCTTCATAACAACTTTTTCCTGAAAGCCCCCATATCAGAAGGAGCCCAAATACCCATCATCAATTCAATGTATAAACATATAGTAGTATATTCATCA